ATGATCATACATTATATTCTCAATAATCGTAATTAGTGAAGGGGCAGGAAAAGAGTAAAAAGCAGTGTGAATAAAAGAAAAGAGGAGATACTTAATAAAGCCACAATATTGCAAGTGTTAAATGATCCAAACTACTTTTATTTTAATTGCTTAGACATGGGATCTAGTCCTAAGTGGCTCTATAATAATAATAATATTTATTTTTTCAATGAAGAGTTTTAAAAGTCGGTTTAAAAAGGACGATTTTGTATATAATTTTATTAATGTCTTGTGATGATAGATATATATCATTTTTGATAGATCATCAAAACAAGTATAAAAAGAAACAAGTTATACTGAAAGTAATATAGAAGAGAGCATTAACAATAACAAAACAATACAATCATCAAAATAAAAAAATAACATGAAATAATTAAATCAATAAGGAATGTTGTAGAATGAAAATTGGTAATCGGTAAGTACTATTTCATCCTCAATTTAATTAATGTTTTATCTCTAAAATAGATTTTTCAATGTGAATTTAGATTCAATCAGACTTAAATAAAAAAATTGAAGGATTTGGGGATATGATGGTTTAGGTCATGGAGAAGAAGCATCCAATCTTTTTTCCATATACTTGAACAAACCATTACGTAATGGCTGATTGAAAAATTATATACTAAACTCAATTAACAAAAAAAAGATAATGAATCCAATAAGCTATAAATCAGTCATTATTATTATTATTAATTATTTTTGAATTTTTCTATGCCATGTGAGGTCAGATATGGTTGGCAGAAGAAAAACAAACCGAGTGATTATTTTTTTTTTCTTCTTAATTGTCTATTTGAAAAAGTTGAAATTAGTTGATGTTGGCATCTTTTTAATTAATTTATTTTTTTCATATAGTCTCAAACCAACTTAACTAGCTTCCTATATCTAGTATATTAGGTGTCGTTTAAATATGTTTTTTTGATCTATTTTTTTGAAAATTTTATTTTTAGAATAAAGTTGTGTAGTTGAGTGAGTTACCTTTTAGAAAAATATTTGGAAAGTAGTTGTATGATTATTTGAGGAAAAGAAAATTACTTAAATTGGATGGTGATGATTTTTGTATGCAAAATTCTCCCCTTTCACTAATAATTTAAAAAGGCTATAAGATTGCCTATTTTAAAAAAATAAAATAAAATAAAAGATTTTCATTAATTAAACTTAAAAAGAGTTATTACATAGATCAATCTAGGTAATACGGTGTTTATTTCGTTCCGATTAAATATAAAAATAATAAATATAAAAATTTAAGTAGAATAATAAGTTTCTAAAGTATTAAACTCACAATTTTTTTCTCGCTAATTGATAAGCTAGCTACTTGATAAACTTCTCTATATCCAAGAAAACGTATTTAAAAACATTGTTGATTATCTTATAATTTCCTTTGCCTCAAAATAAATTTTATTTTTTCATTTTGAGAGTCAATTTTATTAATATTCAAAATTATATAAATTGAAGTAAATCAATTCAATATGTAAATGTGATATAATTTTCTTATATTAATATAAAAATACATTATAACAATTTGTATAATTTAATTATGAGATATTTATACTACTTTGACCAACGTAAGGATCGTACTTATCTTGTTTGCCTTTGCATTAATTCTATTATATACCTAGTTAATGCATTTTTCCTTAGTTGGTAAATTTTTGGCTTCCACACTCATTAATCTACAAGACCAATAAATGAAGAATGCTTGAATATATAGTTGACGTTCTAATATATGTATATCCATTCAAAAGGTTTAAAAAAAAATTACTTTTTATATTAAAGATATTATATATATTTTTAATTGTTCATTTTGGTAATAAAAGTGAAAAAATTGAATCGATCAATAAGTCGAATCAAAATAAATATTTTTGATTTATTGTTATTGGATTAACGGATTTTAAAAGGTTTAATGAAAATAAATTATTGGGTTATTAATTTGATTACGATGTCTTAGTACTAGATTATTCAATAAACCGATAACTCATTCACTCTTACATAAAAATATTGTAAATATTAATATCAACACCTTATCGATTACTTTCTTTGACTTTAGCCTTCAATTACATCACAATTACTTTGAGTTTACGAGAAACAAACCTTTTTTAAAATTCTTTTGCACTTGTATAATTATTTTAATGTTAGTTATTATTATTTCTATTTTATAAGCATTATGTAAAGTTATATTATTGCCCTATCATGCTAAATTGTTAGAGAAGTTGTATACAATATTTATTTTATGAGTATTTTTTTATTAGTTAAATTGAAAATTGAAAATTAAAAATTGATAAAGTATTTTATTAATTTAATTATTAATTTAACATATATAAAATCGAAAAAATAATAAAATTAAATTGATAATATATCAATCTAATCAACACCGACCCATGCACACCTAGTCACCCCGTATTAGCATATTTTATTTTATTTCAACACTAGTTTTATCATAAAAAACACTAAATATAAAAATAATTAAATAAAATAATAATAATCAAAATTTAAATAAGCATAAGACATGTCATAACTTACGTTATCTGGAGTACGTAGTAAACTACATTTAACTAATACACGACCTAATCTCTTTTTTTTTTTGACTTAATAAAATAGTCTAAAATTTAGTTGTGGACTTGTGAATACATTTTTACCATCATTAAGTATTATGTTTCACATTGAATAAAGGACTCATATATAAGTTTGACCAACTTAAACAATTTGAGTTGATTTATGAGATTTTAAGTAGTTTTTTTTTATGATCGAGTATCAGTTATTATATACCTCTAGATTTTACACGATATATTCACCTTTCATTAAAAACATGTGTCAAATAATTCTGTCCATCAGATTAAAACAAATGAAAATAATCATCAAGTATTTCTTTTTCGTCAACGTTAAGTTTTGATTTATTTCTCATTCCCTTTGCTACCCTTTTTGCTTGGAAGATGTGTTCATTGATTGTAACATCCCAAGGATTTGATTAATTATTTTTTATTAAAAAAAAATGACCTTAGGTTCGATAATCTCACATTAATCATGTGCTAACCATACGAAATTTCTTGGATGGTGTTTTGTGTGAGACAATAAAAATGTTCAAACACAAGAAAACCCTTCACCAATTGTCCTTATCTTTTGCAAGATTCAAGAATTAAATTGTTTTTTTTTTGGAATATACAATTAGAGGATATATTAAAATAAACACGTTAAAGATGGGGTCATCTTATTAATTTATTTATCCTTTCAATTTGCTCGTATTGTAACCAATGATCAAGAATTTTTCTAACCTTTTTATTCTATAAAGTTTGGAAAGCATGTTACCAACTATTTTGATCCTTTAAGTATATATTTTTAGTTAGATTTTACGAGAATTGTGGAAAACTTTTTTACCTAAAAAATCGCAATACAAAAACTATATAAACACGAAATGATCGAAAAATACATAGAAACCATTTTAAAATTTTAGCTTCTATTTTTCAAATCGAGACCGATCGAAAGAATAAGCTAATTTAATAAATACACAGTTATTATACTCTCTAAATATTATTTCAAATCAGAACAAAAATGTATAGCCAAAAGAACACTAAAAATTAGAGTATAATGTTGCAATTTGTACTAAGATTACATCCTGCAATTAGGTGTAAATATCTCTAATTAGACTATAGAACCTCTAATTTATCTTAAAGACAAGATAATCATCATTACTTAAAAATTAAAATGTAACATATAAAACATATGGGTCGACAAAGGACAAATTTTGGAGTGTAAAAAAATGATATTGGGGGTGACAAAAACATTTGCTAGGGACCAATAATGTACTGGATTGCCCCTTTGAACACTTCGAATTAAAAATTTTATTTTTATTATTATTATTATGAACATTAAAGAGAAAGAACCTCAAGAGTAATTTTTGTACCAAACTTCAGTAGCATAGAATCTTTAATTCATTACTACACTTGTCCCCACCTAGCAAAAAACAATTTTTACACAAACATTATGAATTATTGCACAAACTGACAAGAAGGAAAAAAGATAAAAGGAGATATGAAAATGTAAATACTATTTTCTATGACTTCTACATCAACTTTTGGGTGAAAAAAAACGGAGTAGCAACATGTCAATATTGTTGAACATTCAATGAATCTTATACGTCTCAATTCTTTATATCTAACTTTTTATAAAATTCATATATATATACCACTAACAACACTACGGAGATTCAATTTGTAATGTCATTTATGTGGATGACGTTAATATTCTGTCTATGGTAAAGCTCACGTGATAATTGGCCAGGAATTAGATCAAATCAGAGTTATGATCAAATGTTTCACTTGCTTGATGAGTTCAGTTATGAAATGAAGTTGCACTCTTACTATTCGTTAGCTTATGATATGAGAGTGATCATTTAATTTTTACAAGTGATATCATAATATAAAATTGTAAATTCAATAATAATATTGTGTGTGACAAAGTTTGGAAGGGGTCCTTGTTAGTAACACAAACATCCTACCGATAACAAATCCCGGGTAACGAGCCGATGATGGCTTGGGTTAGAGTTAGGATTGAATAATCTCTCTAGTAAGCAAGAGAAATTGTCTTCACAAGATTTTGTTTTCTTCTTTTCCCTCCCACTTCAAAAGACCCTCATAATAATTTAAGCAAGCTCATATATGTAGAAGAATTACTTTTTAAGTCATAAAAGCAAGAAAAAGGCACAAGAGTACAAGTTGTGTAAAGAATGAATTTGGAAGGGAGTTATCCTTCTACTTAGAGGTTGGAAGGTTGAGAGGGATATGATATTTACTCATCATTAATGTTGATTACTGATCACACCTAAACAAACATAACAAAAATTTTGACAGTGGACAACACAACAATTGTTGTCTACTTGTACCTCCATTAATAGCATGGTGGGTGCACTGCAAATGTGAGGTGGACTTTCTTGAAAAAGTGAGTGGGGGATAAATCAGAAATTTGAACCTTCACATGTACTTTTCTGAGTCTAAACATTATCAATACATACAATATTTTGTTTAGTGTTAATTGTCTTAAAAAATAATAGAGTAATGTGGAGAGAGTGCTGCACAGGACATAGCAAGTTACTTTAGACATTCAAACCCTACAAAGGAAGGCACTACATATGAAAGAAAGATTGACGCTTCATCGATAACAACTTCAATCAATTGCATATTTCCTCCCTTAAGAAAACACCATTATTGAGTGTATATATATACATATATAAGGCTGCATGCTTAAAGCACACTCTGGGAAAAGTAGAGGCATGCATCAATAGATTCAAGACTTAAATGCAAAGTCATCTTGAGGAAGAACAAAACAACCATGGGATCCTAAAAAAAGCTTAGTTGATTGACTACCTGAACTTCTGTCTTGTTGGCGATGAGGTTCGAGTCCACACTTAGTAATTCCCTCCCCATTTTCTTATATCTTTGCAAGGGAAAAAACTACAGCCTCTTACAAACTACCCAAAAGCATGGCTGAAGCTTTGAGGGAGATAACTTTTTTTTTTACAGAAAACGAAGATACACGATGACCACCTCTATCTTCTGAATGTTGCAACAAAATTGGATACTCAAGGGCGAAAGATGAGTATGACCAAGCATCTTCAACTGTAGGATTTCACGAGTGTTACTTCCAATCATTTTATGTTATTGAGAACAGGAAAAAAACCATCCAAAGTAATACCACTAGTTCTTATGCATTCATATTTCATAGTGTTAATATAGTACAACAACAGTTTCAAGCTTCATGAACTACCATTAGTGCATATGTAAAGACCCTAAAGAACATATAGTACACATACTAAAGTACTTGATGTAAAAGAGAATCATCAGATTCTCATAATGCTACTGTCTTCTACTAGGATTTGCTAAAAGTAGACTTATCTGGAACTGGACCGTGAAGTTTTACATTCTTCACAAGCTACTACTAAGCACAATTGCTCGAATGAAAGACTTGTGAAGCATAAGAAGGTGATGTAGAGATTTTATCTTACACCTCAAAGTTCTCCATAATGTACACCTCAAAGTTCACCAAAACGTACCAATAAGCTTAACTAAGCTGCCATCCATCTACTCTTCACTATATCACCAAAGTTATTGTCTATCAAGAAGCCTAAATTGTCGGTCTGCAGCACAAATCAAACAGGAATGAATGCTTTTTTTCCCCATTGACAAGTCCATTAAAATATTTTTTAGAAAAACAAAATTATGTTAAAAGTACCTTGAAAGCAAGAGAATTGGTGTCCTGGCATTTTCCCCAACGATGGCGTTCATGCTATAGCGTGTGCACACCTCAACTATTCCACTGGACACCTGCTATCCCACCATCAATGGTGTCCTGACATATTTGTCACCCTCATAACTGACATTGTAACATCCTGTCGTCTTTCGAGCAACTTGTTAACTCTTCACTATCCAACTTGCTTGGTATTATGACATACTTCTTGCTGTTGTTTGCTGCGGTTAACTTTTCGTTGAATACAAGATATCCATCCATGTTACCTTGTGAGCATCCAAAGGGTGGCGGCTACGGGTTTCCTTTGTCATCAAAAAAACGTATCCATCCATGTTATTGCTATAGCTGTTGTTGCTTTTGTCGTTTACTCTTTCACCATGTACAAGATATCCAATGTTATTGCTATAGCTGTTGTTGGTTTCGTGTGAACTCTTCCCATTTCTTTAAGTGATTCAACTCAAACCCTTTAACAAGACATCCACCCAATCGTATAAAGTGTAATCCGAACTTTACTCACCCAATCTTTTACCTTGAACTGATTTTGAGCAATCATGACACTGTATGAAGTGACCTCATAGCTTTTATAACAGCTAGGATACAGGACTCGCCCAGTCTAATTCTCATAGCTGAATACAATATATCATTCCATGTAATTGTATAATTGTAAACTATGCCCTTCGCTAACCTGATCAATTATCCAGAGCTGATTTTGCGCAAGCATGACACAGTAAAAAATGACCTCATAATTTGGTAACTGTTGAGATATCAATCCATAACCATATAATGCTAGCCATTGCTCAGTGCTCACCTAGTTTAATTCTCTTGGCTGACTTTTAGGATCATGACACTGTATAAAGTGGCTTAACTCTTTAAGCCACTATACAAGTTATCCATCCAGGTAAATGTTAACAGAAAAATATGTTCACATTACTCACTCCATCTATTATCGTGAGCTGATCTTCAACAATCATGAAACTGTATAAAGTGACCTCGAAATTTGATAACTGATAAGAAGACCATCCAGGCAAAGCTATAATGCGATGCATTATTCACAGAGTCTAATACTATTGTGCTGATATCCATCAACCATGACAGTGTATAAGGTTAACTTAACTCTTCACTCATATAAAACAAACTGTATGATTGTAAAATGCGAGCCTGATTTCTCACCCCATCAACTCTCTTGAGATGGGATGATTTTCAGATATCAAGACATTGTATACAACTATACATGACCTTATAATTTGATAACTGACAAGATATTCATCCAGACAACAGCATAATCTAAGCAATTAGTCACCTGATCTAATCCTCTTAAGCTCATTTTCAACAATGATTGTCACTGTAGGAGCTGATCTCACAATTTGATAACTTCACTCTTTTTATGACCTCTTTAAGACGTAACTTACTTTTGTACTGAAAAGTGACGCGAATACCATTTTGTCGCCTTCACTCCAGCATGAACTTCATGCTAGTAATTTTCAAACATAACTTGCTTGGGATAGTTATTGACTGTTACTTGCTTGAGATTCTTGTTGATTGTACTTGCTTGTGATTCTTATAGATGGTATTTGCTTGAGATTGTTACGGTGTAACTTGCTTGGGATTGCTGTTGGACTTGAGGAATTGTTGTTGTTTCCTTTAGTTAATGCCCGGAAGCGGGCATAGAAGGTCATCCAACTCAATAAAATCTCCTTCTAAAATGGCAATCAGTTCCTGAGCAGAATAATCATTGAGAATTGGAGGTCCGTTGCTCTCAAGACAAATCTGTAGCATGAACCATTAACTAATATTAATGATGCCCATTTATATCAACGCAAAAAAGGGAACATCATGACTTACTCTAACAAACTAACATAATTAAGTTTGAAGGATAAATGAGAAGTGTTTCAATTAGCTAATATACCAGGCACACATAACTCATAAGGTATACACTTAGTTCTTAAGCCTAAATTAGTAAATGCACAATAGAAACAGTAGAGCTCAGATTCCACTTGTAGAGCAACAACAGATATGGAAAGCAGAAAAAATTACCTTCATTGATTTCACTCCAGCCTCAACTTCTCTAAGAGGTCTCTCATATTGAGATGACAAGAAAACGAGTAGGTAAATTCTAAAGATAAATGCATATCTTGTGCATGTCAAACATTTGATGAGCATATATAAGTCAATGACGATGCAAAACAGGAACAACAAAGAAGTAAAGCAAATTCAGCATGAAAGCTTGGGATTATGAACGAAGAAAAAGATAACTAAGCACCTTTACAGAGTAATACATAAAGCTTTTTTAGCGATTACCTGCTTAGCAACATTTTCTGCAACAACTTGACCATTTAAGTCGGGAACTAACCCACTAGGTAACTTTGAGACATCATTCTCCTGGTCAATCATGTTTTCATCATGCATTTTAGAGCCAGTAACCAATGCAGCTGATCCATCAAATTGAATACCTATATGGCGTACTGTCGCAACAATTTCTTCACCATTGGAACTGAATACATGCCCTGACAAGTTATTTCCATGATGAGATTTGATGAATACTCGGCATAGAACAAAAGATGCCTGCACACAAGCAGAAGAATGAGACATGTTACATGCAGCCAATTTATGATATGCAACAAGACAAAGCCACCTTAAACAGAACCACATGATATTTTTTATGACTAATTTCAGAAATATTTATGTACAACTCCTTAATATGTGCATTACGCACAACCAAAGACTAAAGGCAGAGTGAGATAGGAGGTCTACCAACATAAAAGGTAGAATTATGGTCACACTCAGATTGTGTTGCTTTGATAATCTTTACTTATCATCAAGACTTCAGAACAATTAAACCCAAAAGATAAAGCTAACGAACTGTTGACACTAAGTGATCTGTTTCAGCAATAACATCAAAATCAAATCAAACAAAATCGTAGTCCCTAAATCCAAATATCAGCAACAAAATTCCTAGTCGTCCTAATACTATATAGTGCTTAACTAGTTGGAGAATCATGTGACACATGTTTAACTGACCCGACTCAACTCTGTTTTCTATTAAAGGGCAACAATATGCCTAAAGAGTACAAACACATCCTCAATACAAAACTAATTCTATAATCTACAATGTATTATCAGAGTGGTACTTAGATTTCATCAAAAAATATTAGCATATCAATGGAAGTACGAACATGCACAGCACTCCAAGAAGGGAAGCAACCAACCACTTCCCAATGTCAGTTTGAACATAATTAAACCAAAAAGGCAAGCCTTTGACAGTGTATTCAAGTAAAAGAGTAATAGCATTGCAAATTAAGAAAAAACTCAATATATTCATTAATGTACGTAAGAAGAATTGTATAGCAGAATGTACCATAGGATGACCAGTTAAGGCGTACTCATACATCAACCAATCAGTCTTAGTACAATCCCCCAAATAAAATTCAAAACTTTTACGCGTACCCACCACAATTTTCCCTGCACCCGCACCCACCACATCCCTAACTCTACCCCTCTTCTTCCAATAACCACCACCAGCTCTCCTCCTCCCTCCCTTCAAAACCCTAGCCACAAAACAAAACCAGTGCCTTTTCCGTCCACCACGACCGTACCGGAAACAGGCGGAATCCGGCAAGTTAAATGGATCAAAATTGTAGAGATCAATTTCTCGAATTAGGTCAAATCCAACGCCATTCCGGTGATCGACGCCGTTCTTTGAAGATAAATAGTAGCTGATTAGTTGTTGATCGGAAGGGTAAAATTGGGTACCGGGAGGAAGCGAAAACGACGTCGTATCTCCCATAATGGGAGGGAGTAAGATTTAATTATGAGTGTGCTGAAGTAGCAGGAGACAGAGAGCTCCGATATAAAAGGGATTTTATATGGACCCGACAAGTAGAGAAGCGTGGCCAAGAAGTTTCTTCATAATGTCAGCTTACTAATCTCACGTGCTTTAGTCGCATTCCATATGACATAATTTAAATTTTGAGATAATAATAACGAAATATCAAGTGAAATTTCACGGTCACAGTTGAAAATTGAGAGTTAAGTATCAAATTTTCATCACGATTTATTTTATATGCTTTTAAAATGATTTTAATTATTAATTTTGTGACTTATGATTTTTTTTATATAGTTTCTAGTTATGTACATAGTTTTTCAAAAACTGTAAGACTACGTATTTGAATTCACAATTAAATAAAGATATTTGATTTTTGAAATTCAAACTAATAAATCATATGAATTGAGACGTATAGAGTATAAAGTTTTTTTTTTTGTCTAGATTCAAACTCAAATTAGTTATAAACTGACATAGATTATGGTGGAGTGTTTGAAATCTCTTCCCCACTAAATCATATACATCTCGAGTTCGATTCCTTAGCCCAAAAATAAATCGGGCAATGTAAAAATTCTTCTATAGTCAAGCTTTGTGATAGTAAGTACTCGTTTATTTTTAATTAAAAATCTTGAATTCAAGATTGGTTATTTCTCATTTTCTTAGCTGGATTTACAACAATATATTCAGCGAAATCTCACTAAGTGAGGTATGAGGTGTCACGACTGGAATCTAGACCCCAGACGAGACCGGCGTCGTTGACCTCTCAGAGGTCGCAGACAAGCCTACTTACGTCATTCTTACTTTACATAGATTAATTTTAGCGGAAAATTTGAAATTTTTGATTCTTTAATCATAATTGCTGAACATTCTTAACTTTTCGTAATCGTTCATCATCAACCATCTAACATTTAAGAGAGAAGCAACTGAAAGTAATAATTCATTAAGTATTAATTGTATGTCGGCCACAATAGCACCAATACAAAGT